AAAATGATGTACAAATGCGCTTTACACAATTGATATGTGTATGGATTGTGATAACAGTTGTATGAGCCCCTAATAAAATGTTTTTAAAAAAAAGAAATAGCAAAAGATGAAAAACAAAAAGAAATTAATCAAGCTGTTTGTTTAGACTTTGTGAACTTCACAGAAAATGTTATCTTTCATGTTAAAAGTTTTTAAGTACCTGGCTTTTGTGAAATGTATACGGTGCATTCTGTATCCGTGCTGTGATGTTACTCATGGTTACAAATAACTTTTAATTTTATACTTAACCATGCCCCTTTTCGAAAAATAATAATAATAACATGCCCTTTTGCAGACACACCATAAGTTACAAACCCTTGCTGTATATTTGACCTAATTTGGGCCGCACACCTCTGAGATAGGGGGGCGGTTTGACTTGAAAAATTCAGTAATCCAGGGGGGCGGGAGTGGTTTGACTTGAAAAATTCCGTAATCCTAAAATTCCATTTCCCACAAAATGCTGAAGTCCTGTTGTTTATTTGATCTTCACACCGAGCCCTTTCATAGGCGGCGCGGGTGAGGACCCTGAAGTTGGGAGAAATAGGGTCTGAAATCAGGCTCACACAAAAGCAGCAGAGATGGAATCTGCATCTAGATCTGTCCACTCCTGTTCCTGAAGGCATGGTTCTTTAACTTTGGCGGCACTCCTTAAAGCGCCAGTCCTCAGACTTCACCTCCAGATCGAACTCACCAAGCCTGAAGCAGTAATGCCCAGCAATTTCATCAGCATCCACAAAAGGTTCACGGTAGTGGCACATTTGGAGAAACGCTGCCTACTCATTATGTTCCCTCACTGCCTGGCTGGACCAAAGCAAGTCCCTTGACCTCTCAATCTGTTTTCTCCTCTCTAACATCGAGGCAGCGTCGACCTCCCGGTGCAACTGTGAGAATTTAAAGAGGGGGGCTGATGTTAAGTCCTTTTCAAAGTCCGGAACTGCACCAATGCTGCTCGGCTTGATGCAGACCCGCTGGGCTCAGGAGCCCGTGCAGAGGAGAGGGGATCCGGAGCCGATGGCCCCGGCGCCTCCCTGCGCCCTCCGTCCCCACAGCCCTCTGCTCGGGCGCGCTCGGGAGCCTCTCGCCGAAACTGACAGCTCAGCTCGGGCGAGGGTTTGACTGCGCAGCCGGCGCACGAAGAAAGGGGCGGGCGTGTGGCCCTAGAGGCGGGCCCAGGAAATTCAAAACAAGCCCGCAGAGGTGCGGGCCTGCCAGCCCCTGCTTCCCGGCCGGCTCCTCCGCGCCGGCCCTGCTTCCCAGGAACTCGGCGGCTCACCTTTCCCCGGAGCCACGGGACCCGAGGCTGAGCCCGAGACGGCGCCGGCCCCCGACGCTGCGGCCCCCGGAGGGTCGGGGGCTGCGGGGCCGGGGGCCGAGGCGGTGACCCGGCTGAGAAGCGCGCTGGCTGCCTCGGCGCCGGTAACGTCCGCTTCTCCCGGGGCTCCAGAGCCCGCCACTGCCTCCTCCAGCAGCCGAGCCTCGCGGCGCAGCGCCTCTTCGGCCTCACGGAGGTTGCTTTGCCGTAGGAACTGCAGCACCGCCAGCAGAGTCTGCCGGTCCTGGGGAGCACTGGCCTCCGGAGCTGCGGCGGGC